TCTGTTTAAAAAACCCCAAAAGAAATTGATAAAAACTTCAAAAATTAAAATCCTTCAGATGTAGTTATGTCACTACATCTAGTAGTTAGGAAAATTTAAAAACATAAATTTCAACATCTTTTTTCAAAAAAGTGTTAAGAAAAAGTAAAACAACCATATCTTTTGCATACGATGTCGAAAAAATGCATAATATATCAAAAAATTAGCACGAAAATCCGCATCCGATTTCGACCGCCGTAGGCCATTTTGCAAACTTTTAGAATCCTCAAATTCTTAAAGGTAAAAAAAAGATATCCTTAAATTTCAGTTTTTTTTGAATTTTTGGTCAAACTATGTTCAAACTACTTATTCAAGAAATATTAGTGTTACTAAATAATTATTTTAGTTTTTTGAATTTTGATCAAACTATGGTCAAACTATGGTCAAACTACTTATTCAAGAAATATCTACTTATTCAAGAAATATTAGTGTTATTAAATAATAATTATTTTTTAGAATAATAGTTTCAAACTCAAACGGTGAAACGTGTGACTTCATGCTCAAGCTAAACTCCTAAGGGTTAATAGGAATGACAGCTTACTATTGTCAGGTAAACAACAAGCGTAGACTTGGAAAATAGGGGGAATAGAACTCGGAAGTTAAGCGTGCTCAGGCTTGAGTAGAGAGAGGATGGGTGATCGACCGGAAAGTTAGATGACTTGGAATGATCAAGGGTGATTAGAGCAATGATGAGGATGATTAGAGATTAAATCGTTAAATAATTCAGAAATTTGAAAATAAAAAAATAGAAAAAAACTTTAGTACCCGTTGTTACTAAAAGTCTCCCAGCCCCCGGCGCGGCTCATGCCACGTGATGGCCCTCACTAAAGGGCCTTACGAACCGGTGCTATAGCCCAGTTCTGCACTAGTGGTTACATCACCGCCTGCACATAATCGACATAGAGGCGAGCCAATGATCCCATGGCTGACCTAGGTAGGCTCAAGAATTGGCTTTTAGACCATTGGATGATGGTCATGAAGTGTCTAATTAAAGATGTTTTGCCTGCTAGTTTTCGAAGAGAATAATCTTTTAACATACAATCATATGAATTGATGTGCCATTTGCAAAGGAACCCTCCGAAACAAGACTATTTGAATTTTTAATTTCACATTAATCACGAGTGCCTTTTGTTCCTTAATTGTTCAATACTCCTTCCATGAATACTATTTTCACTAGCAATTTTGTGCTTATTTCACATGCTATTTTTTTGTTCAACTAGTTCTTCTAGTTCTTTGGGTAGGTTTTTTGCATCCATAAGTTTATATCAATTCCAATTAGGTTGTATTTTTCCAACAAGCCTTTAACTTTTGTATTGAAATTCTGAAAAAAATACTCTCTAAATAGTCGTTACACTATTTCCCTGTAGACACCCACTGATACCCCGACAAATTAAACATAATCTAGAACAGAAACAACAATAAGAAGAAGAACCCATGAAGTGAGTGTATGTGCGTATATATAAGAGTCGCTGTGTTTAAAAAAAAACCATGAAGAAACCTAGAATACGTAGTTGTGCGTTGCTGCCTCCTATTATATATATTATAGGGTGATCTTTCCACGGATCCGAGATCGATCGTGCCTTCCTGCCAACAACCACACCGATCCAATCTGCCACAGTCGCGATTTAACAGCGATGGCCGGCGACGGATGGCGGTGGGCCGACCTCCCCAACGATCTCCTCGGCACGGTGTATCTCAGAGCCAACTCCGCGTACGACCGGGCGCGCTTCGCTGCCGTCTGCACTTCATGGCGCGCCGCCGCGTCGTGCCACCGGCCGCTGCCGGCTCTGCCGCTGCTGCTCCTGTCGCCGGGCTGCGGAACGAGCCAACGGGAGGCGCTAGCGTACAGCCACGAGGACGCCAGGGCCGTGCACATCCCGCTGCAATGGTTCCCGTCGGGCGACCGTCTCGTGGGATCGCATGACGGCGGCTGGATCGCCGCCGTGTCCCGCTCCGACGATCTCCTCGTCGTCAACCTCTTCTCCGGCACTCGGGTGCCCGTCCCCACGCAACAGAAGTTAGAGAGCGCAACCGAGTGCGCCTGTCCTAACTACTCCACCATGTGGAGGGGTGTTTTGACAGGCCTAACCTACGTTAAAAAAGTCATCTTTTCCGTGGACCCTTCCTCGACCAGCTGCATCCTCGCTGCGATGACCAAGCTGTGCTCCGTAGCGCTCTGCAGGGCTGGCTCCTCGGATGGTGATTGGACGACACAAGGATGGGGCACCATGCTCACAGACATCACCTTCTGCAACGGCGAGCTCTATGGCATCCAACGCGGTACACTCTTCAAGTTTGGCATCAACATTAACAAAGACGGTAATCCGGTGGCAAGCCCAATCCACCGCGTAAACATCGATATGAATGCCTTGCACGCGTTGGAGGTGACATCCCACCCAAGATACATCTTCCAACTGCGTAACAAGCTAGCACTAGCGGTGGAGGTCTTGCCAGACAGTCACGACCATAACACTAAAATTTTCAGGGTCTTTGAGCTCACCGATGACCACAAAATGTGGGAAGAGGTGATGAGTTTGGATGACTACACCCTGTTTCTTCACCCAGCTTGCTCCAAGGCGGTGCCCGTGTCGGTGATGGACCGGCGCGGTGGGGTGGATAGGAACTGCATCTACTACTCCGAGCAAGACGCCTCTCTCCACCATCATGTGGAGTGCTTAGCAAAGTTGTACATCGGCAGCTGCACTGTGTATTACCGGAAAAGTGAAGCCGTGCATCACTTGCAGAGGATCATATCACGGGGATACCATTACCGCAAGTGGGATGCTGGTAATGGCAGTAATTGTTGCATGTGGCTTCTTCCTCCAGAGTTTTAGTTCCTTGTAGTGCATGTACCTCTGTTTTTATGTTTTCCATTCATTAACTGGAGGTATGCCAATAAATTGATCCCTCAATTCCAAACTATAAGGTGTGCAAATTTTCTAAAAAGTCAAATATCTTTATGTTTGATCAAGTTTATACTGGAGAAAAATCAAAATCTATAATACAAAGTCGTTGCCATCCTATTCTTTACGAAAAGTATTTTCATATTCTATGTATTTTGTAATTTTGATATGTATATATAATTGTCTTCAGACGTTGAGAGGTTTGAATTTTAGAAAAACTAATGCACCTTATATTTTGAAACGGAGGGCGCAATTTATATATAGGCACCAGTTTCTGCACCATAATTTTCATTACTCAAAAAAGTAGGAGTTACAAGGTGGTGCGCTTGCATGCAAGGAAAATATTCACCATGAACAATGTGTTCCACATTTTTTATGGTGTACTTGAATTTGTTTATCGATCACATAAATAGTAAGTATATCTACTTATAATTCTTAAAAATATGCAATCTTGCATGGCTCTTAGTGCTGCTCATGCCCTAGTTAAGGAAGGATGTTGCGTGGAACTGTGCAAAGTCACGGTTTCCAGGTACGTACGCCCAGATTGTACTGTGGATGCATGCTTTGCACTCGGATTAGGCTGAGATATATATGAATAAATGGAGTACTTGCTCGACTTCAATGGAGAGATAAAATTTGAACGGAATTGTAAGACGCAAAAGTCCTAATATTTCACGTCATGGAAGTAGAAGTTGTTGCCGAACCTGCTGGTGAACTGTGGGTCACCGCAGGAGATGCCCGGTTAGTAGTCGCACACTTGACGCGAACTACTAGTAGTACTAGTAGCATCATAGTGGCAGATATTAATTTGTGACCAGTTCTTTCTTCGTCTTTCTTAAACAGCGTTGTAAAGCCAGTTCATCAACAAACTATACTACTACTGTATTCCCGATGAGTTTCCCGAACAGTCAATTAGAGGTCGTCTTTCCCCATTCCTCGTCCAACCCCTTCACATGCATGCACCGCTCAGAGGTGTGTTCAACGGTCGCAAGGGCCGTCCGTATTCCCGAATGAGCTGCTGGTGTGATTAAACTGGTCAGCTTCTCCATGCACCTCCTAGGAAGTCGATCCGTCAAGTGTAAACACGCTCCACGCGCATTGACTCATCAAGTGTCATCGCTGGTTCACTGCATATATAAACCCAAGCGCTGGCCGCTGTCCCGTCTACCTCACTAGAGGTTTTGTAGCCATCTACTCCTAAGTACTGGGAAAATCTTGGAGCTCGCGTTCCATGGGCGGCCCCGACAAGCTGAAGTGTGCACGCGGAGGCGGCGGCGGCGTTGGGCATTCTGTGGACCGGCTGAGAGGGTGCTTGGATACAAGGGACTATTTTTAGTCTGACTACAAATAGTCTTTTTTAGAGGCTAAAGTTCCAAGCACCCCTGACTAAAAAGAGGCTAGGACTAGTCTTGAGGCTAAAATCTTTTAGTCATGGGAAACCTACTAAAATATGTATTAGCTCTCTCTCTCCTCATTTAATTCCCCTCCTTAGTTCTGGATTGGAGGGTTTGGAGGATAATAAATGCTTAATAACTAGATTTTAGTCTCTTTAGTATTTAGATCCAAGCATGGGTGAGACTAGCAAGTTTTAGTCTCACTACTTTTAGTCATGGGACTAAAACGTATCCAAGCATGCTCTGAGCGCCCTGCCGGACGACCTCCTGCACGCCGTCCTTTCCCGCCTCAAGGCCCGGCAGGTGGTGCGGACGTGCGTGCTGTCCACTCGGTGGAGGCACCTCTGGCGCTCCATGCCGTGCCTCCGCGTCGACCAGCGGGAGTTCCATGCCGCGGCGACCGGCAACGGCTCCCTCGTCGAGAGGCTGAGTTTCAACAACTTCGCCCACATCCTGCTGCACCGCCACGACGTAGCACTCCTAGAAGAATTTCGGCTGCACGTAAATCCTGGCTATGGCTATGGCTATGGCAGCTGCCGTGCTGACAGCTGGGTCCGCCGCGGCATAAGTCAGGATGAGACTTGGCCTTGCCGGCTCGAAAGGTTGCATCTTAACAACGTGTCTTTGGACGGTTATTTTGCCAGGCGCATCAGTTCGCAGTGCCCTGCTCTTGAGGACATGCGACTGAAAAACTGCAGCTTCTTGCTCACCGAGGACATCAGGTTCACCTCCTCCTCGCTAAAGAAATTGGTCATCGTCGGCTTCCATGTGGTGAGGGAGGATGCTTCTTCCAGGCTGATTTTGGAGGCTCCTGCCCTTGCTTCCCTCCGCCTTGCCGGTCATTCTTCTAACAATTATTCCTATGTCATGAGTCTGACGACAGTGAGGAGCATGCCATCACTTGTCGATGCATCGATCTGTCTGGTGACTGTGAGCAGGTTCAATTACAGCAATGAAGATAACGGCCCAATTGAGAGGCAATTGTCTTTTCTCAACGAGCTTTTCAATGTGACGACTTTACATTTGTCTGGTTTCGGTGTCATGGTATGTACCTTCTCAATTTCTGCCTATCGATATCCCCCCATTTATTCAGCTTACATCTCCTTTGCCTATAGTCATTTAAAATCAGAAATTGAATATGTATGTTTCAGTTTCTTGTCCTTGGTGGTGATGCTGGTCTGCATTTCCCTGAGTTCAAAAACCTCAAGGCATTGTCCCTCGCCGAATGTGATATCAGTGATGACTTCCTCACCCTGAAGCATTTCCTGCGGAACTCACCTAATTTGGAGAAGCTCACTTTGCGCTATTGCGAGGTGCTGCTAATACTACTGCTACTTCTTTCATAAATCAGTTTAGTGTGTAATATTAATTCTTTTATACTGCCAACAGCTCTCGGATCCCAGATCTAGAAAGCAGATAATGGTATTTCGAATAATAAAAAGATCTAGAAAGGAGATAATGGAATTTCAGAAAAAAAGAAAGAAGATAATGGAAAAGGCTCACTCATATTCCCAGGACATGGCAACTGTTGAGTGCAAGAACCTCAAGCTCACTGAAATCATATACCGGGAAAATGATGATGATGATGTGCACCTATTGGTCAATTTTTGGTTGGGCATGTCGAAGAGTACGCCAAGCAATAAGATCGAGATCACTAAAGTCGATTAGAATACCGTATCCATATGTCAGCTTGTCTATCGTCTGATGCCTTCCTAGCTTAGATGCCATATTGTATCACAAGGTTACCTTTTGTTCTTTCTTTAAGTCCAAGTTGTGTCTTATGGAGTTGATGGGAGGATGTTATCTATTATCTGCTGACTTCCCAGTTTGCATGTTGTAATTTGTTATCTATCGTTTGCTGACTTTTCAGTTTGCATGCCGTAATGTGTAATCAAGGTTTACCTTTGTTCTTTGCTGAAGTCCAAGTTTACATTGGGATTAACACATCAATACTATTTAAGGTTGTGCGCTATGTAGGTTATTTTCTTGATTTTTCAAGCTATGTTCTGTAAATGTTTTTTGATTAAGAAGATTATGTTCTTGACATACAAGCACAATGTTGCAAGTATACTACTGCAAAATGTATTTTTGCTGGGTGTTTGAATGATTTCGTGCACGTATTTAGTTGGAAACTCGTGACACACACAACTTTCCTGACTGTAAAAATACACTTGGTACAGATCTATACAGTCAATACATTAACCGTTTGCCCATTTTCTCCTCAGGACACTCAGTGAACAAGTGGATACGTCCTTTGTAACAATAGTTAGGGCATGTACAATGGTTGATAAAACAGTCTTATCTTAAGTCTTGCATGTAATTTAGAGATGACAAAAAAGTATGTCTACAATGGGTTATATCTTAACCTTATCTTCAATAGCTAGTCATTCCTTAAAACATGGTGAGACAAATTATGCTAAGAGATCATCTCTTGTCTTATCTTAAATAAGAGAAGACAAACCTTTTTTTGTGAGTTCTCTCTCCTCCACCTCATCATTAATCCTACGTGGCACTCCTAAGATAGCACCATTGTACATGCCCTTAATGGACTGGTGAAACTTAGCACAACATGTAGTAATAAGTTCTTCATCTTTTTTTTTTTGAGCGTAATATAAGTTCTTCATCTAGTAAAATAGTACTCCCTCCGTTCTTTTTTAGTTCGGAATAGCTTCGTACGTGACGTTTTCTGGACGGCGTGTGGACGATGTAAACCTGGGCATGTGCAGCCTAGCTCTCGGCCCAAGCCCAGCTTGCCCAGCTTGGGCCTTGATTTGCTGCAGAGAGTACTTTTCAGTCTGGGCTTGGGCCTCCGTTTTCAGCCTGAAATTAGCACGGCCTGGCCCGGCACATCAGCTCACACATATCTGTTCAACAGTTTAGAGAGGTGGTGGATGCCTGCGGGTTAGCTGATATTGGCTACGTGGGCATGGACTGGACTTTTGAGAAGAAGGTTACAGGTGGCCAATATTGTCGTGTCCGTCTCGACCGGGCACTTGCGTCCAATGAGTGGTGTAACATGTTTCCTTTTGCTACTCTGAGGCATCTTACTGCTGTAAAATCTGACCACTCCCCAATACTGTTGATGAATGAGCTTGAAGCTAATAATAGGAGAGTTGCAATCGCTCGTCCGTTCCGATACGAAGTGATGTGGGAGCGTCACGAAGAATTCTCTAGGGTACTGCAACAGGCGTGGTCGAGCAGGCCGAAGAGCTCTTCGGTCGCGGAGCTACGGCATAAATTGGACGTGGTTGCGGCTGCGTTTACCTCCTGGAGTGCGCAGTCCTTCGGTTCAGTGCGCAAGGAGCTGCGGGAACTCAAGGGCCAACTTGAGGCAATGCGTGCTGACCCATGCAGGACGGGACCAATGCATGCAGAGTTAAAAATTCAAGAACGCATTGCTGAATTGAATTATAGAGAAGAGATCCTTTGGCGTCAACGATCTCGCATCCAGTGGTTAATGGAGGGCGATAATAATACAGCGTTCTTTCACAGGAAGGCCTCGGCGCGCCGAAGGAAGAACCGAGTTGACAAGCTCACCCGTGCTAATGGCACTGTTTGTGAAGACCAGGATGAGCTTGGCCAGATGACATCAGATTTCTATAAAAACTTGTATGCGTCTGAAGGAACAGTGGGTATGGAAGAGGTTCTATCGCATATCCCTTGTAGAGTTTCGGCGGAGATGAATCAGCAGCTTAATGCCCCGTTTTGTGAACAGGAAGTTAAGGAGGCATTGTTCCAAATGTTCCCAACCAAAGCCCCAGGCCCGGATGGCCTCCCGGCACACTTTTTTCAGAAAAATTGGGATATTTGTCATGAAGAGGTGACTGGCATAGTATTACGGATTCTCAATGGTGAGGATTCTCCGGAAGAGATCAACAAAACCTTCATTGTTATCATCCCTAAGGTATCAAAACCGACACTTTTGTCTCAGTTTCGACCTATTAGCTTGTGCAACGTGATATATAAAATTGTCTCGAAAGTACTGGCTAACCGTCTGAAGCTCATCCTTCCGGAAATTATTTCTATGGAGCAATCTGCCTTCGTGCCAGGTAGACTCATTACCGACAACGTGATCACTGCCTATGAATGTTTACACTATATGAAAGTCAAGAGGGGGAAGAAAAATACTTTTTGTGCTCTCAAGCTCGACATGATGAAGGCCTATGACCGCGTAGAGTGGGCATACTTGAAGAAAGTTATGATGAAGCTGGGTTTCAATGTTATTTGGGTTGAACGGATTATGAGTTGCGTATCTTCGGTGTCTTTCTCAGTGTTGTTTAATGGAGGCAAGTTGGAAGAATTTAAGCCATCTAGGGGACTCCGGCAGGGTGACCCTATTTCACCGTATCTATTCTTGCTAGCGGCTGAAGGATTATCATGTATTTTGAAGGGCCGAAATATCACTGATGATGTTGCTGGGATCAAAGTGGCCCCCACTGCACCATGTATTAATCACTTGCTTTTTGCAGATGATAGCATTTTATTCTTCAAAGCCAATGAAGTGGGAGCCCAGCAAATTAAGGATTCTCTGGACATCTATTGTCAGGCGTCAGGACAAAGGATAAACATGGACAAATCTTCAATTTTCTTTGGAAAAGGTTGTTCTGACGCAACCCGTGGGCAGATTAAGGGACTCCTTGGGGTCCAAAATGAATCACTAGCGGAGAAATACTTGGGATTGCCCTCGTCCGTGGGTAGATCTAAGAATGGAGTTTTCAAATATCTCAAGGATAGAGTTTGGGCTCGTGTAAGAGGGTGGATGGAGAAGGCTTTATCTTGTGGAGGGAAAGAAATCTTGATCAAGTCGGTGGCTCAGGCGATACCCACCTATTCGATGGCGTGCTTTAAATTACCTCGAGGTCTTTGCGAGCATATAAATTCTTTGCTTAGAAAATTTTGGTGGGGCTGCAAGGACGGTGAGCGCAAAACAGCATGGGTTTCGTGGGACGAGATGACTAGGCCGAAACGAGATGGTGGTCTAGGCTTCCGGGATATTGAGCTCTTCAATCTCGCGTTATTGGCTCGACAAGCATGGCGAATGTTAACTAACCCAGATTCCATCAGTGCCCAAGTTTTAAAGGCTGTCTATTTTCCTGAAGGAAATATCCTAACTGCTGTTATTGGCTCACGCCCTTCGACCGTCTGGAGGTCCATTTGCGAAGGTAGGGATGTGTTGAAGCTGGGCGTAATCCGGAGAATTGGTGATGGAAAAGAGACACAGTTTTTTGATAACTGGCTGCCACGCGAC